TCAATCATGTAGAGACCCCGCAGACAGATATGCCATCCATCGACCAGACTGGGCCCCTGCTGAAGGATGTTGCTGATGGGCCAGTTGTCAATCGTGTAGAGACCTCACTGAAGGATGTTTCTGAAGGGTCGTTTGTCAATCAGGCTGTGACCCTGCAGACGAATGTTGCTGATGGGCAAACTGTGGATCAGTTTGAGACTCTGCAGAAGGGTGTTGCTGATGGGCCAGTTGTGAATCATGTACAGACCCCGCAGAAAGATGAGCCATCCATTTATCAGGCTTTGACCCCGCAGACGAATTTTGCTGATGGGCCAGTTGTCAATCATGTAGAGACCCCGCTGAAGGATGTTGCTGATGGTTCATCCATCAATCAGGCTGTGACCCCGCAGACGGATGTTGCTGATGGGCAAGCCGTGGATCAGGTTGAGACCCTGCAGACGGATGTTGCTAAAGGGGCACACGATAATCAGGCTGAAACCCCGCAGACAGGTGTTGCTAAAGGGGCACACGGTTATAAGACTGAGACACCGCAGATGGGTGTTTCTAAAGGGGCACGCCGTAATCAGGCTGAGATCCCAAAGACGGGTGTTGCTAAAGGGGCACGCGGTAATCAGGCTGAGACCCCGCAGATGGGTGTTGCTAAAGCGGCACGCCGTAATCAGGCTGAGACCCCACAGACGGGTGTTGCTAAAGGGCCATGCCGTAATCAGGCTGAGACCCCACAGACGGATGTTTCTAAAGGGGCACGCGGTAATCAGGCTGAGACCCCGCAGACAGGTGTTGCTAAAGGGGTACGTGGTAGTGGCAGTTTGAACAGTTGATTTTACTCTCACTAGTATAAGAGCACACTTCCCCAGTACATTCAGAATCTGGCTCATATTCATGATCTCAACCATATTCTCAAAACTATCATTTTCAACATCTTTAAAATCTATATTTTAATCACTGGCAGTTTATTTACCACATCCACAATCAAATTACAGTATATTTGATTACTTACAGTAAAGCCATTCAAGCCATTTCAAGTTTTGCAGATGATATTCTGTGGTAATTATGAGTGAAACATCATGACATCATTGTGTATCAGATATTGCCACCTTGAGGAATAAAGGTGAACTACAGTTATTGAGTCATCATATATTTAATTATTGTTGCACAGGAAAGATATACTTACACATATATTTACAATGTTACATTATTGTTAGCAACCCTGTATACTTGTTTCCCCCCCCCCTTTTTTTGTTTTTTTACAAAAACACTAATTAGAAAACAAACATTCATTTATAATTTATATTTGTTTATATTTTTTGTTTATAATTTATACTTTATATTTATTTTCTTGTTATATTGTTTACAATGAATATATTTATTAAGCATATTAAGAAGGTTGATGTCTAACTGTAAAAAAAGAAAAAATAATGAGAGGGAGGGTAGCAAATTATGTCCCACGTCGCTAAAGACCCGAGTTATGTGGGTTAAATGATTAAAGGTTAATTATTAACATTTACACTGTAAGACCCCATAACACACTAATCTATTTTAATCAGATTCTTTGTAATGTCATTATGCAAGTTGCAAGCACTTTTCACAGACTATATGCCCAAATGCACAAATGAGAATTTGAATGCAATTGTCAGTCAACAAACACACAGGTACTGAATTTAATCTGTAGAAAGTCTGTTGATGTACAATTTACAATTGTAGCTTTGGCATCTTGACAGAACATGATGAAAACACCAGTATGTTGAATTTAGGATGCTGTTGTATTTATTAGAGCTGTGGAATATAATCATTTTTACAGTGCATTACGATACTGATGTGAACAATTCTGCATATCTTTTAAAAAATTGTTTAATTAATATGCCTATCACGGTTTTTTGTTGTAAATAATGCAGGCTATTCTTGTTATATATTATTTAAAAAGTTGCATATGTCATTAGGAAGCAAAGCACTTGCGCCACTTGTTTCAGTTTCGGTTTTAATGAAAGGAATATGCAAGAATGAGAGTTATTAAGCGCAATAAGCCACAGAAGTGATCTCAATGTGTTACTCACACTGACTGACACACCTGAAGTGAGCATACAGAAAGCCTCTCTCAAACAGCATGTGATCCCGAATTCAGTTTTCTTTAGCGGCGTATTGTGCTTGAACAGTCAGATGCACACAGAGTTATTTCAAAATATCTGTCTTGGTATTTTATAATTGAATTGTTAAGCTCTGAATTGTAATTCAATGCAAGTGAAGATTCAGACCTCTAGTATATACACCTTATTTAACCAGGAAGCCTCACTTGTTTGTCAATTATAAACTGCTGTTTTCAAAACTCTGTGGCCCATATGAATGATTTGGCTTTTGGTTCATATGTTGTTTTGTGTGTGTGTGTGTGTGTGTGTGCACGTTTTTGTGACAAATGAGGACCTAAATTTGTATAATGACAAGGGTATGACATAGGTATTACATGGAGAAGGTGACTTTTCAGGACATTACCCCATGTCCCCACTTTTCAAAACGCTTATAAATCACACAGAATGGAGTTTATTGAAAATCTGAAATAGCACAAAGTCTCCTGTAAGGGGTAGGTTTAGGGGTAGGGTTGGTGTAGGGCAATAGAATATACGGTCTGTACAGTATAAAAACCATTACGCCTATGGGATGTCCCCACTTTTCACAAAAACAAACCTGTGTGTGTGTGTGTGTGTGTGTGTATTGTTCATATTTGCAATGTCTGAATGATTAAGTTATATAAATTGAAGAATTGGGGTTTCGTCCATACCTCCACCTCTTGTCATACGCCATTTTCTCATGGTTTCTCACAGGCTCAACAAACATTTTTTATTTGTTGTCTGTTAGGAGGGGCTCTTTGTGGGGAGTGCAAACTTTCCTCAAACACTAACTAGTTCGATGGACATTTTCATCTGTTAGCTAGCATGCTTTTTTCATTTGAGCACAGCAAAACCCCCATTAAAGACACTGCACTGTACTGCGCTTCCAGCAGAGGAGAAGGCCACTGTACCACAGTCTACTAATTCTGGTGAATGCATTAAGTTAATGTTAGCAAACGTTTTGTATTTTGACAAGGCTCTTGATTGAAATCTGGTGTGCTGCACATGTCCTGAAATGTGACTTCATACTAACATATTTTCGCTGCAGTATAGGTCATAAACCCCACACTCTCCATGTAAACAACTGGAACTACAGCCAAAAATAAATAAATAATAATAATAAAAAAATCGAATTACACTTCAAATAATTTATCCAAAGATGCTTTCTGTCATGTTAGGTAGTTCTTACCACGCTGATATATGTTTAAGTGTTCGCTTTTCAAATGCATTTTGATTTAGTTATTTAGTATTTGATGCTGTGGGGTGTGATGTCATGCTGATTATATGAATCTATTGAGGTTTGGGCCGGAACTTGATACCTCGGCCACAGTGGAAGGCAGTGGAGACGAGTCGACTGTCTTTTTTGCAGTCTATGTTTCAAATGGATTAAGCTGAGGTTAATTCATCCTTTGCTGTAGGCATACATGGAAGTGCCAGCGCAATCACTTTTTTTAATTTTACCTGCAGTAATAACTTGTGACTCCAGCAGGCTATATAGATAAAAGGAAGTGTACTAAATTCCTTATTCGTTTGTATAGGTAGTTTTGTTAATGTGCATGCGACCTAGTTGTGCGTGTACAGTGTGCAGTCCGCCAGAGCGGTTCCAGTTTACATTCAGTTTCATTCTGTGCTGCAATCTTCTGTGGTAATCTTCTGATAGTTTACTTATGAAATATTGTTAGTAACATTTTTAGTACACTTTGAAGTATAGTCTCAGTAAACTACTAGTTTAATAGTTTTATACTGCAAGTATACTTGTAAGTTTTCTTTAAGTGAACTTTACATACTACCTTAAGTATACTACTATGTCCCTATTTAGGTATTCATTTGTATATATTATGTTACATGAATATCTGAACATACAAAATATCAAAAGAACAGGGTATCTGCTTGTAAACAAAAACATTTTATTCTAGCTTCATGCATTCTTTTTTTAAACACTTGAATGTGGATAAGTTTCATAAAAAAAAAAAAATTAAAAAATAAACAGCATTTTGAACAAAAGAGTATAGCTATAATATATTTAGACTTTTTTCTAAGTATAAGTCAAGTATACTTAAATGTCATTTTAAGTATATTTCTGAGAAGTACATAAAGCCCATTTCTGAGAAGTACATAAAAAGTAGACTAAAAGTAGACGTTCCTATTTTTAGTTTAAAAGAAGTATACTAATAGCACACTTGAATAAACTTCTTTTCGTAAGGGTATAGCAGAAGTCAAATGGTTTCATATAAACAAGAATGGAAGCATTCTTTCACACAGACACACAAAAGCAGACATCAAACACAGTCATCCAGCAGTAGACACATTCTCATGCACAAGTTGTTTATCCACCTAACAGATCAAACCAGCATTCTATGCAGATGTACATAAACATGACAAAGGCAAATTATTTTTAGGTGATCATTTCAATAATCAGTCTTTAAGTAGCACACGTGGTGATTCTCACCAGTCCCTAAACTCATCAAGACTCAGAGTTTGAGGTTGTTGCAGGAGATAAAAGCAGTGACACAGATCTGATAGAAAAACACTGAAGACTGAAGATTATTTTCGTAAGGGTATAGCAGAATTCAAATGGTTTCATATGAACAAGAATGGAAACATTCTTTCACACAGACACACAAAAGCAGACATCAAACACAGTCATCCAGCAGTAGACACATTCTCATGCACAAGTTGTTTTTCCACCTAACAGATCAAACCAGCATTCTATGCAGATGTACATAAACAAGACAAAGGCAATTTATTTTTAGGTGATCATTTCAATAATCAGTCTTTAAGTAGCACACGTGGTGATTCTCACCAATCCCTAAACTCATCAAGACTCAGAGTTTAAGGTTGTTGCAGGAGATAAAAGCAGTGATACAGATCTGATAGAAAAACACTGAAGACTGAAGATCATCTTCTCGTGGCAACAGGTACATACTCCACATGATCTTCTTCTTTAACATGCTGAAAAAAAATAAAAACATCACACAAGAGTTGATTATGCTTATAAACAAAGAGAAGTGTGACTCTCTTAGAAATACAGATTCCTTTGGTTGTGACATAACGTGATGTATTGAATTAATGCCAAATTGGACACTAAAATCTGATCTGATATGTGATTTTGTTTTCAGATGTTTTACCGGTGAGTTTCTACTGACATAAACCAGTCCACTTAAATTTGTAAAACAGAGCTTAATCATTTTAAATAATATAAATTAAGTTCCTTGAACAAACTATTTCTTGAGTGTATGTATTTTTTTTTTTACTTACTGAAAGTTGAAGTCTGTATTGTTAATAGGAGATTTAAAGATGCTGCATTTTTTTTAGAGTTTAGTAGACAGAGTAACATGAATTAGGAATAATTTGTCTTACCGATTTCTGTGCGTTTCTTTTGTGGAATATCGGATCAATGTAAGTGATCTCTTCTGTATGAGTCTGAACTGTTTTGACAATAACAATAATAGATGCATTAAAACAACAAAACACAATCTTATCTAGATCTGTTTCTTTGCAACATTCTATTATTAAGGCTGTCAAAGTAAAAGGCTAGCAAGCATAAGATCCCATCCTCCCTGCATAATCACTCTCCAAAGCCACGCCTCCTCCAAAACATGTGAATGCGCGCAGGCAGAGCAGAGGCTAATCAGCATCACGATGCAACACTGTCAAATTACCTCATGCCTGATTCACCAGTGAGAAAACATTACAGTACAAAGCATGTCAAATTACAATAATATCACCTTCAACTTTAGTTCAGTCTGCAATAGTGCAAACAGGGTGCCCGGAGGTATGCAAATACATAAATTGACAGGCAGGTAGGACAGCCTATCGCAATTTTCAAACCTAGGAATATGACTGGATGAACATTTTATGATTTATACGCCTTCCACAGACAATATAAATTTAAATAAATACATTCAGACCACTTAACGTAGTGATTGCTGCAGGATGGGAAGACTTTCAACCAGCATTAAAATAATTTTTTGAACCAAACCACCTACCCTGCCTAAAACTGTTTAACACACGCACACAAACACACAAGACATCTTCAACACAGTATCTCTTTATCATTAATCTTAAATATGATTTATTCATGTTTTTCCTAATAAATTTTGTCTAATTCCCTATGGAAATCTCTCTCACACATACTGTACGAATACACATTCACTCACAGATGGAAACATACACGCGTACAGATAATTGTCAGCACTGCTCTACAACTGACTTTTAGAAACAATATTTTGCAACTAAAAAGCTATGTCATTTAGCTAACACTTGCCTTCTTGATTCGTTTTTCTGTGTTTCCTCCAGAATATCACGACTGCAGCTACAATCAACAAAGATCCAGCAGTACAGATCAGCACTATCAGAGATCCAGAGCCTGTAACGATAATCATTAATGTGTGTGAATGTGCAGTTTGATCTACAACAAAAGAGAAATCAGCTCATTAAATAAACATATATGTCAGCGCTGCTGTACCTGAACATGTGTGACAGAGCTGAGTGATGTCCAGATGTGTGGTCTGGTTGCTGATGGGATTGTTGAGCACACAGCTGTAGCTGTTTTTATCCTGATATTCCACCTCCAGAGGTAGAGAGAGACTGATGCTGAGATCAGACACACTGATGCTGGACAATAAACTGTTTCCTTTGTACCAGGAGAGAGTCACATGACCCACATTCACCACTGAACACAACAATGAACAGTTCTGCTGTGATGATGATGATGATGAAGAACAGTCTCTTCTTATGACAGGTACAGGCAGATGAGCTAAAAACACGAGAGAACAAACAGAAATATGAATAAAAACATTTTTCATGGTGTTGAGTGAGTTTTTATATTATCTGTCACTTCAAACTATGAAACAAGAATATGTGAATGGCAGGACAAATGATCTCTACTCACCGTAGACATAAACACTGAATGTTTTTGATGACAGTCTCGCTCCCCTTATCTGTTGTTCATAGTCTCCAGCATGTTGAGTTGTGATGTTTGTGATTGTCAGAGATCCAGTTTGATGATCCACCTTCAGTCTGTCTCTGAATCTCTCATCAGGAACATCAAATGTTGAGAAGATTTGTTTCTCATTGCTGATTTTAACTATGAGAGACTTTTCAGCTCCATATTTCCATGCTATTTCATCGTCTTCATGTAATTCAGTAACATTAGTTTTTAAAGTGACAGAATCTCCCTCCATCACTGACACTGACTGTATTTCATTTGTTTCTGCACCAAACACACCTGATGAACATAACGAGGTTTTGTCACAGATCAATGCTCCAGTTGGTTTACAAATCCTGAAATCATCTATAGATGTAATCAGTTGCATGTGAACTGAAGAATATGCACAACAGCATCAGAGACACAAAATGAACAGGGATATATACTGTAATTTGTTTTGAAGTGTTCTGCTTTGGCGCAAAATCATTGTGTAAAGTTACATAGTTTAGTTGTGCTGAATATTTTCAATACTTAGTAAATGAGTCACTTGGATCAGTATAAAACAAACTCACTGTGTTATTACTGTCTCTCATGCTCTCAGGGCCCCTGCGCATTTAGACTAATGACTTTCCATGACGTTTGTAGATATTTATGATGACTGCAGAAATATTTAAACATTTTAAAACATGGAATTCTTTAGAAATAGATTTTAAATGTAAAACAAAAAAAGTTTATATAGATATTTCAAAGCAACTCAGTGGAAGATTTTGGCATTTTGAGTCGCTATGCAGAGCACAAACATCTACATTCGCTCTGGAGATTTTCATTGTTTTTTATTTTTAGCATTTTATTTTTGCACTTTCCAGCCCGGTGTTAAATTCCAAAAAAAATACCTGAATTCAGTGTAAGTAGATCTCATAGTAATTATTTATTTGGTACAGTCATTAGCAGATGGAAATAGCCCAATTCTTAACAACAGCAGTAGCTCAGAAAAAAATGTAAACCATAAAAATGTTTTTATAACTTACCGATCAGACTCCACCAGCACAAACAGAACAAAACAAACATGTGAAACATTCTCTTCAGTGGTTCAGTGTCTGATCTAATAAAACCTCTGCTAAAAACACTCAACCTGATGTGACTCCTCCCCTGACAGAATTTGAACCTCCTAGTTTACTCACTGTATTTGCATATGGTATAATGTTATATTTCATCCAGCTCTTGTATTTTAACTGTTTTTACTGATTGAAAATATTCTTTATTTTTTATCATTTAACATACTTTTTGTAAGGTAGTTGCCTGACTGTGTTAAATGGCTAAAAGTAGAAGAAAATTGTGTGAGCTGTGGATGAACTACATTTCACGATAAAACGGAATGAAAGTCTTGCAATTTTTAAATTGTTGTGAATATTAATTCAGTTCTTAATGTTAGTGCAAGAAAAAAATGCAAAGTTAAATCTGTCTGCCATCTCACACTATCGGTTCAGTTTCTGAATCAAACTGAAAGCTGCTGTTGTCTGTTCTTCAGAAATGTGGTTTGATCTGTTGAGTGGACAAACATATTGTAGGTGAGAGTGGACATTCAGATAATGTGTGCATAACATGTAGATGGTGGGTGTCTTGTTGTCCTGCTGCATTGAAAAGCTTTTTAAAACTGTTAAAATATATATATGAAATGGGGGGTGATGGTGGTGGGGGTGGGGGAGACAAACCTTTGAAATGTGTTGTGTGTGAGTGAGTCCACTAAATGCATGAACCAAATACATTGAATTCTTTCCCATAATACTGGGAGAGTCAAATTGTAAATAAAAAAAAATAAAAAAAGCAATACATTAAAATTCTTAAGATTCCGCACAAACGTGGCTGCCACCTGCATTTTTCAGAAGTTAATTCAGTTGTACAGTGCAGTTGTCATTTTCGTACAGAACACCAGTCTGCCTTGACTGCAGACAAATTGAAGGCTTCTTTGAGACTAGTTACCAGCAGCTACTGCCCAAACTATGCAAAACTGTTACACTCAATTAGGTTATCTACACTTTTAAAAGAAACACAGTTGTTTAAAGTTATTGAAAGTACTTCATCTTCAGGTGAGACACTGCATCCTCTTCAAACATGATGCAATAATTCAATAAGCAAATAAATGTCTCTTGTGCAAATCTTAGTTTTTGCCCTAACTTATGCTACGCTTACATCCTACGTTATCCGCTAGTATGCCACTCTCTCGTGAACACGTATAGGACAGTTAGCGGAAGCTAGAGAGGCTATGGTTTATAACGTTTTAAATGTGGATATTATTCTTACACAAATGCATCAATTCATTTCAGAAGGCATCTATTAATATTAAAGTATGGCTTGAGAGGGAGTAAATCATGGGGTCATTTTCATTTTTGAGGGAACTATCCGTTTAAGGTGGGATCTTTTGACCGGTAAACAAGCACTCAGTGCACCTTAATATAATTGTTCCAGACGTGATATTTTATTTTGAACACCACATGAAGCTCTAAGCTGCAATTATGCACACTTTCTATTAAAATAACACCTGCTGTTAGATTTAACTAAATCCTAAATACCTCTTTGTACATTGATAACTAATAATTCATAGTATGATTGTAGATGTTTCTTCAGTGACTGATTTTTTTGGAGGCTCTTAATATGGATTTGTGTTTTTCCTGCTGTCTGGAAGGAGTTTTAATATAGCGTGATCGGTCATTTGACATTTAGTGCTCAGAAGTCACGCTACACGCCAACAAAGGTAAAAACTGAAAGTGAGTAAAAATGACTTGAGAACAGTGTTTCTAATTAATTTTGGTGTATTTGTTTAGCCTTTGGATATCAGTGCTGTTATGCTACTGAAAAAAAATAAGTTTTACTATAGAATTTCTCATTTTAGTTAGTTACTCCCCAAAACTGATGAAAACGTAATCAGCTATTAACCACTGCATATTTGCATGATACCATAAACATTACAACAGTGAATCAAACATTGCATTTACTCTTAAAATGATTCTCAGGCATTGTCAGACAAAGAAAAAGATCTTTATAAAAACAGGATGTGATATAGACAAGAATAGCTCTTCTACTAGCACCGCTAATTATGGAAAACAGTACTGAAACTTGCACTGTGTATCAAGGCATAAGTGTGTATAAGGTTATGGATATATATAGACACGCATATTCCCATGAATATAAATCTTAATATCAATACAACAGACTCAAACTCTAAGTTAGTCACAGGAGTTTCCTATTAAAAATCATCACATTAAAAAAGATTAAACTTTGATCATCTTCTCATGCTAACAGGCACGTAGTCTACTTGATCCTCCTCTTCATCTTTCTGGAAAAAAAGTATAACATAAGATATAATAAAATATGTTAAATAAAGAACAACTACATCAATGGTTTTGAGGGAAAACAAATACTGAAATGTAGTAATAATAAATATGAATAATAAAGATGAATATGAAAATTTAAAATGCCCAGCCTGCATAACAGAAATATGGCCAATAATATATCAAGAATAAGCCTCAAGTGAAAAATCTCCTGAATTAATATATGCCATACAGTAGTTTGATTCAGTTCCTTTCTCCCTTTAAAAGTATTTATTGTCATTTCTTTTAATCAATCATATTGTATTTTATTATTATTATTTTCCCGCTCTCTGCAACACCTTTAGAACATTTATTCAGTTATTCTAATATTCTAGTGTTTTCTCAGTAGCTTTATAAATGCACTCTAGTTCAAAATATGCAAGTAACTTAATCTGACTCCTTTTATTTACCGATAGACTCTTAAAACCACAATTGAAAAAAAAAATAATAATAATAATAACAAAATAACTTACTCAGAGGTATTGTATGCCAGCGATACACATTTAACAGTAAAATGGTTTCTTCTGTAACTACAATTAAGAAAGAAAATATCTATTACTATTTTATGTTATTATGTGATGGATAATTATACATACAATAACACAAACACACACTGATCTACATCTGACTCACTGCTGAAATGATACAGAGAATATATTTAGAAATACATTTTCTTACCAATGTATGTGCATTTCTTTCGTAGATTGTTGGCTCATGAATCATAACGACATGAGTGATCTCATCTTCACAAATCTGAACTGTTTGATCAACAGTAATGGATTAAAACTCAAATAGATGGATGAATAATGGACACAACTCAACTAGACTGTTCTTTACAATGTGTTATTTTAGGGCTTTGAAAGTTGAATCACTAATGCACACAATTAGATATATTTAATGCCGCAATAAAAAAAAAAAAAGTTAATTAATATAATTATGCATGTGGCCCCAATGGATCCCCTCCTTCGCCCCGAATTCATCCTCCTCCTGCTGGAGCAGGAAGAAAAATCGCACGAGGGTCATACCAGACTGTTTCTGGCAATAGCCCATCTCACCACCTATCCGGACGACGCTCTCTGCGCGTTCTATGATGCCAGCCTCAACACCGCGTGCAGAGCGCCGTCATACGAAGATGGCCCTCGAGCGGAATTCGCCACCTTTGTGGAGTGGACACTTTGTGGAGTGGGCGAGAAATGGATCTTCGTTCTCCGCTGGTTCCCAGGAGTATATCGCCAGTGCCACTCCCGACCCAGAGCCCAGCCCACCATCTCCCCGATGCGAGGAGCGCATGCCCGAGCCCACCGCTGACGGAGAGCCATCGCTCTCCAGTGCCTGCTCCTAGAAAGCGCCTTCCAGTGCCCGCTCCTAGAATGCACCCTCAAGTGTCCGCTCCTCCAGAGCGTAATCCTATTCCGGTGATCAGCCTAGAGGGGCCTCCGGATCCAAAGTTTAGCCCCGAATGCCCGGAGGCTCACGAATGCCAGCCCTCCCACCCTCTCCTGCCTCCTCCTCCGCTGTCGTCTGGCAGCCCCTCTGCTCGCCCCCAGTCCACCATATATGCAGTGCGAGCTCCGTGGGACTGCCATCCTCCAGCCTCGCCATGGCTGGAGTTTCCCTTGACTCCGCCTCCAGTCTCTAAGCCCCGGACTCCGCCTTGGCCCGTGGACCCGTCGCCTCCACCATGGCTCCTAGCTTCCTCCTCTCTGCCGTGGCCCAGCAGTCCACAAGCTCCGCCAGGCTCCCTCGTCCCTCTGGGTCCGCCTTGGTCTGGCGTCGACCATCCTGCACCTCAGGACTCCACTCCTCCGTCCCTCTGGCTCCTTCATCCCCTCGGCTCCGCCTCAGTCCTCTGTCGCTCCGGCTCCACCGCGGCCTCCCGGATCCATGCCTTCGCGTCGGTTGCCGGCGCCATCTGCTCCGCCTAGGACCTCCG